TCTGTGCACAGTAAGCCGTGTCATGCACTCCATTTCTTCCTTTCAGCTCACCTTCCAAAGCTCAGGACTTGGCTCCCTGTGTGCGCTCACGTTTTGGGGTCACAGCTGGATGTGGGCAGGTTCAGACCCACGCCTAACTGAATTTCACCCTAACCACGGATCTCTCCCAGCCAGGCTGCTTTCCTTCTATGTATGGAGTAATTCAGTGCTAAGCCATGAGCTCGATTGTGCAGAGATTAGATTTCCAGTTATAACACTCACTAGAATTCAATATCCATCACTCCCTCCAGGGTACCAAATAATCTTCAGCATTTGCAAAGCTGAACTTTCTAAAGCAAGTGTACCTTTAAAATTAGTCCGATATGACTCAAATTCAGATATTGATACCTTTGGGGTTAATATTCTCAAAGACATTCCCTGCAACAAACTGCACACTTTTTTCTTTCTTGAAAGCTGAGATCAGCTCAGACATAAAGGCAAACAACTACAAGAAACCAACGATAAAGTCAAAAGCAAACTTCAGCCAAGCCACGAATCAAGTTGAAATGAAAAGAAATCACTTTCATGGTGAACAAGATTGACCACAGAGGGGTTTGGCACAGTTTAACTGTTGCACTCCAAGTATGCATCATTTAATGATGCATACTTTACTATGAATCAGACTTTAAGATGAATTAAGTTCTATCTATCCAATGCAAACAAGCACAAGGTTCTTTACACACCTCTGTCTGGTCAGGTTGAGCCCTCCTGAGCCATCACAGCAAACACACGACACGAGCTGCACTCAGGTCTGGATCTCAAAGCACTCAGAGGTGTGCAGCCCTTGTCTGTTAGCAGCAAAGAGTCCCTCCAGCTGCAGGAGGCTCCCACACATACCTGCAGGACTGAAATGAAAGACCTGAGCCATCCGGCATCACAACACCTCCTCACATCTGCACTACTTTTCTCCAGAAGTTTCGTCTGCAGCCCCCAAGTCTGACACACCAAGGTGGACCTGTATGTGCGCATCTCACTCCTAATGCTTAATGATCTCGAGCACGGCGATATCCACACCGCTCTGGAAAGAAATCAATTCTCCCTTTGCTCTGAGCGATAAATGCATGTATTCCATAATCAGCCTGAGAGAACACACATAGGGGATTGGTACATCTGGGAAGCATATGAGAAGCCTTTTCATATATATATATAATTTATTTTGTGAAGCACCTCTCTCAAACCCACCTTTAGGTATTTTTCCTTCATTTGCACACTGGAAAAGTTGACTGATGTTTTCAGTTTATAAGATATTAAATAATAACCACCCGGTTGCATTACTTGAATGCTTTTCATGCCTAGAATCCCCCACTACACCTTATCCATCTTATCTGCAGTGTTTCTTTGACATCCTCATACCCTGTTCCTGCCATTAGGGCCGGGATTCAGTTCTCCCAACATGGACATGAGGTTGCCTTGGGGGTTCTACTGAGCACACAAATACCTTTCTAGGACAGAAAGTGAAGCAAGATATCACATTTAGCTGAAAAATCACCAGGCACCAGGACCAGCAAGTGGGCATAGAGCAACCAGGGGCTGTACTTGGACACGTTTCAGTGCTGAAATGGCTGATTTACACTCAGAGCACAAAAGCACTTTCAGTCAAAATATCACCTTTTGATTGTGGCAACACAAGAGTGGAAGGAACACTGAAATCTTATCTTCAGGGCGTCCCTTCCATGTTATAAACTACTCAATATTTTTCCATTTTGACTGAAAAATTCAACTTCTAGGTGGGAAAAAAAAATGGGGAAATAAAAACAGGCAACTCTTTTTCTGGTGATTTGCTGCAGAATAACATGAGGTGAGCTCCAGTCTGAGTTAGTGTCTGAATCTGTTACCAGCGAGAGATAAATGAGGCCTCAGGGCAATGTGCTAAATCACAGGGGTGCCTGCTACCACCTCTCAGTTACGCATTTCTGCTTCTCCCTCCCTCCGCTGGGTTTACCTAGGAGGCCCAAACACACTTTTACAGGAGCACGGGGTCTTTGCTGTGCTGGAAATGCCTTTCTTTTCCTCCCTCCCTCTGTTTTAGGAGAGTGGCAATGCTATGAAAAGACCGGATCTTGTTTTACTTTATTGCCATTAGGGGCAAAGGAAAAAAGAGAGAGACCTATAAACACAAAAATGCCAGGAAACAAGGAGACTGCATGCTTGAATGCCCAGCCCCGGCTGCCTTCTTCCATGAGTAACAACCCATATGTTGACAGAGGTCATGTGTGGACATCCACCACAATGCAGAAAGAGGAGGTGTAAAAAGATTCACTTTATACCAACAGAGCCTTTTGTTTCCCATGGCAGAGCATCCCTCTGCACCTTGCATGAAGCACAAACCTTTTTATTCCCATTTCTCCTCCAAATTGATACCTTCTATTCCACTCTTCTTCTCCACAGCAGTAAGTGCTACAGAAATGTTTCCGAGTGATTCGCTGCAGAAAATATTTGGGGAAACCAAACCAAACATTTGCAGCTGTGTGGCACAGACCCACTCAGAACCCACGGCAAGCAACAAGATTTACCTATAAATGCAGGCCAGACTGGTTGATGTTTCACCAAGTTCGGTTATCTGGGGCTAATTCAGTGCTGTTTGCGGCAGTGGATCTCAGCACAGCACCTGGAAATCTCCAATGCTTCAACTGCAGAGCTCAGTGCATTACACTGCAGCCCAACCTTCCCAGCTGGCCTCGCTGACCTGCAGCAGCAGCCACCCCAGGTAGGTTTCCTGCAGTAACTGCTCTGCAGCATGAGATCTGCATCTCCCAGGAAGGCAGTTACTGTGCTTTACGTGCAGCTCGTGTTTTGACGTGGTTCCTTTAATTCACCTCTCTCAGTGAGCACAAATCTCGACACCAACCTGCAGTTTCAACCTGTCTGCCTGGGCTATGATTCAGTATCACCATCGTCACATTGCAGATCCTTTTTGCTCCTTTCTGTCCCCAGTTTCAGAGCGCTCTGTGGCTATAGATGTGGAAACCAAGCATGGTGGGAGGAGCATTTCATAAAGCACCACATGCTCCATCCCATTCCTTGCACGCATCCCCAAGGCACAGCACCAAACCAACAAAGTTTTCCATCCAAGCCCTCCACAATTTCTATAGGGCACTATGTTTGCCCTATAGAAATCCTGGACTATTGATGAACTGCATGGGGCAGAGGAGAAAGACTTCAGCTACACAGTCAGGTCATGAGAGCAAAAACCACATATTTCAATAGAATAATGAAAGGGGCCAGGTGCTTAATCTCACCATTTGTAGAGAGTTTCAACTCATGTGCTTACACATCACTTATTTTTCACTATAAAAACCCGAACAGGAACAAATTAGTGCAAAATAACAAACAAAAACAAAAATAAAGCAAAACAAAGATGATCCATCACACCACTGTAGTCCAAAACAAGTTTTCAACGCACACACAAAAAGTTTTTTGTCCTTTCACATTCCACATTACAAATTTATAGACATTAAAGCAGCAGCGCTCAGATCCAAAACGATTCAAGGCCATCAAGGTGAGACTTCTGATTCGGGCTCATACATGAGGATGTCATTGAAAAAGGTTCAGCAGCCCAGCGAAATTGTGGTATATATATGGCAGTATGTGTGACCAAAGGGATTATCCCAGAATGGCTCACCTGATTAGTTATACAAATGCCTTTCTTTTTTTTTTCTTAATCCAAGACCGTGCAGAATGCCAAACGGGAGAATGGAGCTGTGTGCTGGAATGTCTGAAGGCTACAGACTTGGGATTTATATTCCATGTTGAATTCATTGTTCTCTCTCCTACCCCCGCTGCCCTCTAAAAAATGCTGCAGCCATGACAGAAATAAATTAGCTGGAGGTACAGGTCACACCTTCAAGGGCAGTAAGCATTCTGGGTAAAATCAATAGAGAAGATGGGAGTCTCTAGCAGCTGAAGCAGAAAGAATGACGCATTGATAGCTTTACATATACTCAAACAAAGGCACTTTGGAGCAGCCCTCGTCCCTGCTGCCTTGTGAACACAAAGCTCGTTTCTCCGACCACCTGAACCCCAACAGCAACACAGAGGCGATTCAGAAATTGTTTCTTTGGCCAATTTGCATATCGATGCAGAAAATTCTGCTTCTTTGCAGCTCCACCCAGGGAGGAGCTCCAGATGATGAATTCCAACCCAGCTCCCACAAACTTTTACAGAGCTCACAATGCACACAGAGCTCCGGCTGAAACAGTGCAGCCCCTGGAGTGGCAGAAGTTGAAGCAGCAGCCAAAAACTCCCACAAAACTCAGTGGACACAGAACCAAATCCAGAGGGCACCACCAGACAGCGATGCTCTGTGTTCTGTTCATTATTTCCCCCTCTGGTTTTAAAGCAGTGGATAATTTATTTAAAATCACCTACATTCATTCAGCGCTTTAAAGTCAGGCTTTGGTATTTATGAATCACAGATCCCCTGAAATAAGGCGATACCAGGCTTACAAGGATAAGGGCTATATGAAGATTCATGCAGAAGTGGTTTTTACTAACATAGGAGCTCTCAGTGAGACACACGACCTTTGCAGACACTTCATAGATCTCATGGGGTTCCTACCTGCATTTCCAGGCTCCTAAAAGCTTTAAACCTGATCTAAGCTTCCACGGTGCTGCTAAAAACAGGACTTAGACTCGGCAGTCCCACGGGAGCTGGTGAAATTGCTACCCAGGAGATCCCTCCATGGGCAGAACTACAACCTCTCCTCCTGTTCTATCCCTCCCAGACTTCCCCAGAGATGCTTTGGCCCAAATACAGCAGAATCCAAACCCAAACGAGCACTGATTTTGTGCAGAGCCAGCAAGGGAACGCCAAACCGCACAACTTTCCCCTACCCTCCTCATTTGTTTATTCTTTTGAAAACCCACACAACGTTAACACGTGCATTGCTCTTTGATCATTAAGACACCCATTTCTGCCTAGGTTGAAATACAGTGCAATTTGGAACTATATTGGTACTTACATTTACAGAGCCTGAGAACAACATCGTAAATGGAACTCTTTTCATTTCCAGTGCTACCTGTAAAAATAAATGAGGGGATTCATCATTAATGCCAGTGCTGCATTAAACGATTATCTTCTGCATACAGTCACTGCCCCATCTTATGTCTCCAGCATGTAGAAATGATGTGGAAATGCCTGCAGATATCTCTGAGTTCTGGGGGGAAAAAAAAAATAGAAACAAAAAATCAATGTCTTGAGGAAAAGCGTTCCTCAGAAATCAGCTGTGCTTTGCTGCTTCTGCTCCGAAGGCCTTTGCATCTTTGGATGGTTCCTTGAACCCACCAGTGCAGACAGAGAAGAGATTGCTTAGTTTTGGTCAAAGGAGAGGAGAAGGCACAATTTCAGCTCTTAATTCAGGTGTTCTGGGAACACCCCCAGCACAGCCCTGGTGCTGAATCACAAAAAAGAGGTGACTGATGGGGCAGGGTGGAGCTGTGGAAACTCCACTGGTGAAAAGGTTAAAAGCCTTTTTAAAGAATTCCCAACAGCCCTCCTTGGGAAGTGTGACCTGTAGGTGGGCAGCCTCCACATGGAGTTACAGGTGAGGAAATCAGTCCTGCTATCAGCTTGCCACCATGGCTCCAGCTGGAGCGCATGGCTCTCCCTGCAGCCACAGCTGTGGGCTGTTCTGGGGACAAAGAAAGAGGGGAAGGAAAGGCACATTCAGCATCTTCCCAGGAAGGACCAAGATCACCTCCTCCAAACAAACATCAGCTACAATGGCCTACAACGACTTGCCCTGCTGTTCTGCTGTAGTTAAAATACTGCTGCAGTACCTGCTCTCATGTTAGACATCAAAAAAAAAAAAAAAATCAGTATTATTTGCACATACATACTGAAATGCAGCACAAACTCTGTGCTTTGTATAAAGCAATGCATCTAATGTAGATTGTGCCAAAACAAATCACTCCCCATTTGTTCTACACTTCAATATGTTCAGCGATAAGTGAAGTCCTGCCCAGCTTTGGAGAACATTCCAATAATCCCACAAGCACATTATCTGAAGAGATCACATTTAACATCTGCAGGTCAAGAATGACCCATCAGAGATACACCCATTGGCGCCTGCTTTCCTCCAGCAGAGCTGGATACCAGCTGACTTGCTTCGCTGATTGCCTTAGCCAAGGTGTTTCAGATGGGTCTTGACATCCTGATACTCAGAATGCTCCAAGCAATCCCCGTCTTCAAAAAAGGGCATCTCTGTGTCAGCACTGAAACAAGGAAGCTGCCACAAATAACTGCTCCCAAAACCTAAGGCTGCTGCTCTGCACATCCCAGGGCTGACGCAGACTCCCAGCAGAGGTAAGTGCTGTGACCCAGTGCTGCAGGGCACATCCCATGCCCACACCTCCTGCTTTCCCTATTCAGATTTCACCTCTGCCTATTGACTGTGGCTGGTTTCATAGGACATGCCTTCATTGCAAAGAAATGCTTACTCTGGACGTAATGAAACCTTGGGAGCACCTGGGCCTTTCCAAGAAGTACACAGAGCCCTTCTCTTTGTTTAAAATACACAGGGATTTAAATTAAATCAGTGAGCAGGTGTGGATTTGCTTTGGGAGTACCTGGAAAGATGATGGATGAAAAGAGATGGGGGAGAATCTGGCTGGTACCCATTCAACAGATGTTAGAGTAATGGATCACAGATAGGGGTGTTAAGATATGGGCTCCGTGTCCAAAGAGCTGCTTTCCACTTGGAACATCTGCACGCCAATGAATTGCAAAATCTTAACCTTAGGAGGGGAAATGAAATAATCTAAAAACATTTCCTGTCTCTAATTATATTTTGCATGTGAAGTGGATCCATACAGAACTGCTGGATTTGGACACCTGAAAGCAAACAATAGTGTGGGGCAGGCCGTGTAGTTTGCATCTGGATAACAGTGCTGTTTTGCCTTCCTGTGGTCACTAAAAGGATCTAAGCCGAAATCTGTGGGCCTGAAAGATCCCAAAGTTCATTTCTGAAACCCAAATCTGGATGTGCATTTTTGAAGCCTGGGCTTATCACTTCCCTGCAACACAAGGTATTTTTTCTGCCAAAAAAATAAGCAAAGAGCCTCACAGGAATCCCTCGTGGTCACCCTCCCCACTGCACAGCTAAGCAAATGGAGGGACTGCATGCAAAGAGGGCAGAGAGTGTGCTGTGGTCACACAGAGCCCGTGTCCATCTGCAGCACAACCCTTCCTGCCTCCATAATCCCCTGCAGGTTGCTAAATCAAAGAAGTGAAATAAGGCAAAGCAATTTTCCCAGCCTCCTCTCATCAAAAAAAACTTCCTAGGATCTCAAGGGGATAAGAGTAAGGCAAGATCAGAGAGCTTCAGCTTTGGTCATTTGCAGATTCCTTCTGCTTGGCCTAGCTGCTCCCCATCCCTCCGTGTGCACGCAGCAGGTAATCCTGGTGGGAACCAACCCGAAGCCCACAGAACCCAGCACTCCTCCTTGTGCTCTACCCTCACCCTCTGCAAAGAAGAGATGCTGAGGGCTTTTTTCCCATGCTGTGAGTGGCGAGCAGCAGCACAACCTATTATTGTACTTTGCTCATGGATTGTGCACTTCCCACCCCATAACCAGGAGCACGCATCGTGACCGACCTGTTAGCCTTTCTCCTCCTGAGATCCTTTGCAAAGACAATCAATTCCCACCTTAAAATAACCAAACGGTAAGCACAAGGATTTTGCATTTGCATATCTAGTTAGTTAATTATCTCAAGTCTCTAAAATCCATGCAATTTGAATGTCCAAGGCTGCCTGTACTTTTCACACTTAGAAAACAAAGTGCTCCCTTTTAATAAGCAATGCAACCGTCCTAAAGAGCACTGGAGGACAAAATCTAACCAAATGTTTCTGACCTACTGCAAGCAATCATTAACTACAGACAGTTTCTAATTATTTGAGTCCATTTCACTTCTTACTCTGTGGTCAGTTTGTTCCTTGGCCGTGTGGCCTATGCTCAGAAAAATCTCCATTAGGCAGCACAAAGTTGCAGAAGAAAAATGACCCTTTTTCCTCTTTCTAAGGTTGTTTCAAGACCTCTAAACACGTCTCCAAAACAAAGGGAAAAAAAAGTAGAAAGCACTTAAAAATTTAAAAGCACAACAGTCTGCTACATTGAAACATGTTGTTATCAAATCAAATTGCTTTCTCTCACCCCTCTGCTAGCAGTTTTGCAATTCATTTTCCATAAAAAGCTGTGAAGGTATTAAAAGGCACAACATCTCTGCTGAGGCTGGGAGCGATCACATGAAGCAGCCACAAGATTTGCTTGATAACATACAGAGTTCATTATTCACAAACGAGTCTCATTTTCAGCCTTAAAGGAGAGGGTGGGGAGAGAAGGGGGAGCAGCCTTTTACAGCACACACACTTGAAGTAAAGGATTGCATTTATAGGAACCACTAAAAAGAACGAAGAGCAGGAAAAGTAAAAGAAAACACACCTCTGCGCTACCAGTTCGCGAGAGCCCAGCTTGGATCCCCAAAACACGCTCACACGTTTTTCACTTCAAACAAATTTACCTTCTCAGAGAGGCTGAGCAATCAGAAAGCTGCTCAACTTTCAGAAAGTTCAGCTCTGCTGCAGATGGGAAGGGACAGAGAGCAGAAAGCACAGCGTCAGCCAAAGCCACGAGCTGCAAAAGTTCCTCTGCACCCCCCCACCGACCTACCAGCCTTCGTCTCACAGGTAGCAAAGTTTGTCCTCCTCCTCCTCCTCCACTGCAACAGCCGCACACGCACGCAGGCTGAGTGCACTGAGCATCAAAAGAATATTGTTTCCAATCTTCCCATGACCAAGGAGAGAGAGAAAAATGCGGTCTGGCCAGGTACTGCTTCTTCATGAAAAGTAAATCCGGCATTCTGGAATGAGTTCAAACACGGGGCTTGACAGGCAAGGGAGAAAAGCTTTTTCACTGAGCATGCTTAGTCCTGCACTGCCTGCACACTTAATGAACATTACTTCCTTCCCAGTGGTTACTCCTAGTAGAAATCCACACCCCCTACTCTTTCAGAAGTCAGGAATGCAGCTGAAACCAAAGTCCAGAAAACAAGCCCGACACCCAGACATGGCCCCACAGATCAATAAACCCAGGTTGTGACCCGCAGGTCAGTTTGTCAAACAGGACATCGGGCTGAGTTTTTTCTACACTTGGTATAGTTTGCTTTATGCTTCAGCTAATGCTACTCGCTCCCCAGAGAAAATAAAACTGCACCAGCTTTTAAAGGATGATTAAATGCTTCAATAACAGCTGGGAATTCTCTTTAAATCTCGTCTTTCCAAACCTGCTTTAAAATGAGGAATGAGCGCCGCGTAAAGAAGTTCTTCAGATTCTGAGATTCCTGAAGAAAAGTTGTTGGGATTTATGCTAGGTGAGGAGTATCTGCTAAGCAAAAATAAAGACCCTTCCCTTCAGTGAGAGCCCCATCCTGTTCCCTTTGCAATCGCTCGGAGTTTTGTCATTACCTTCAGTGGGAATCACACCACGGTTTTAGATTACAAATGCTTTCAGGCAAGAGCTGCGTCTACTTCAGTGACCTGTACAGGACAGACTGGTTCTGGCACTTCAATTTGCAATTTACAATATTGCTGTGTCTGAGCATTTGAACACCGTGCAGCAGAAGTCTCCCTCCTTACAAAGCCCGCAAGAGTTGCTGAAGAAAAGCAATTCTACAAAATCGCATGTGTTATTTTTAAAGCTTTTCATTATATTGCAAGCTTTACAGCTGCTTGCCAATTTTTTTTCCGTCGGGTTACACTTAGCTCTCACATCTCAATTCTCACCCACAATAGGACCAGGAGATTTTTTGTAATGAAGGCTATGCTGGCCCAGAGTGCCGTGTCATAAAAACACCGAGCGGCATACGATGAGTTACAATGGAATAACAAGGGCTGTGGTATTGTGAGGGTAAGGAGCACTAATCAAAATCTAAGCTGTCATCATTTCCAAGGCCTCTAAGATAACGACTATCGCACCACATTTTAAAATAGGTTACAATTTGATTGTGACCTCTGCATCTGAG